AGTTGATGGTGGTGGTGATGATGGTGGTGGTGATGATGGGGGTGATGATGATGATGATGGGGATGGTGATGGTGATGATGGTGGTGGTGGTGGTGATAATGATGATGATGATGATGGTGGTGATGGTGGTAGCTGTTGATGGTGATATTGATGATGATGAGGAGGAGGATGGTGGTGATGATGATGGCGGTGATAATGATGATGATGATGATGGTGGGGGTGGTAATGATGGTGGTGGGGATAATGATGATGGGGGTGGTGATGATGGTGGTGATAATGGTGGTGATGATGATGGTGGGGGGTGGTAATGATGGTGGTGGTGATAATGATGATGCAGGTGGTGATGATGGTGGTGATAATGGTGGTAGTTGTTGATGGTGATTATGATAATGATGATGATGATGGTGGTGGTGGTGGTAGTGGCTGATGGTGATAATGATAATGATGGTAATGGGGGTGGTGATGATGGTGGTGGTGATGATGATGATGATGATGATGATGATGATGATGATGATGATGATGATGATGATGATGATGATGGAGATACTGATAATGGTGATCATGGAGATGGGGGTGGTGATGATGGGGGTGGTAGTTGTTGATGCTTATTATGATGATGATGGTGATGGGGGTGATGATGGTGGTGGTGGTAGTGGCGATGTCCCAGCAGACAGACTGTGGTACTTGATAGAAAATCTCCCTACTTGGGACTCGAATTCTCATCTAATATGCATACAATAACGCATTTTGCCAGTGAAAAATTCGTCAAATTAAATGAACATTTTCATTAATGAATTAAACGTTCATTCAGGACCCCATGCTGTTTGCCGGCAGTCTACGCCTCAACCTTGACCCCTTCCAAGAAAAAACAGACGCCGAACTGTGGACAGCTCTCGAGCATGCTCACTTGAAGGCGTTCGTGGAAGAGTCGCCTCAGGGCCTGGAGCATGAGGTGGGGGAGGGGGGTCAGAACTTGAGCGTGGGTCAGCGACAGCTGGTGTGCCTGGCCCGGACGCTGCTGAGGAAGACCAAGATCCTGATCCTGGACGAGGCAACGGCGGCTGTGGATGTGCAGACGGATGGGTTCATCCAGAGGACCATCAGAGAGGAGTTCAGCAACTGCACCATCCTCACTATTGCACACAGGCTCAACACCATCATTGACTATGATAGGTGAGTACAGTACAATCGTTGTTATAGCACACAATAGGGGAGTACACTACAATCTTTGTTATAGCACACAGGCTCAACACCATCATTGAGTATGGTAAGTGAGCACAGTACAATCGTTGTTATACTATAGCACACGATAGATGAGTACCCTGCAATCGTTGTTATAGCACCCGATAGGTGAGTACCCTACAATCGTTGTTATAGCACACGATAGGTGAGTACCCTACAATCGTTGTTCTACTATAGCACACGATATGTGAGTACCCTACAATCGTTGTTATAGCACACGATAAGTGAGTACCCTACAATCGCTGTTATAGCACACGATATTTGAGTACCATACAATCTTTGTTATAGCACACGATAGGTGAGTATACTACCTGCACAATCCTCGCTAGCTACTATCATCACTACAATCTTTGCTATTGCACACAAGCTCAGTACCTTCATAGACTATTATAGGTGAGTACAGTACAATCGTTGTTATAGCGCACGACAGGTGAGTATACTAAAATCTTCGTTATTACACATAGGCTCAGCACCATCATTGATTGTGATAGGTGAGTATACTATTCGTACAATCTTTGTTATAGCACACGATAGGTGAGTATAATACAATCTATGTTATAGCACACGATAGGTGAGTACTCTACAATTTTTACTATTGCACACAGGCTCAACACCATCATTGACTATGATTGGTGAGTATGCTACCTGCACAATCCTCGCTACAATCTTTGTTATAGCACACATGCTCAACACCATCATTGATTATGATAGGTGAGTACAGTACAATCCTAACTTCAATCCTCGCTACAGTCTTCGTTATAGCACACACATACTCAACACTATCTATCATTGACTACTATAGATGAGTTCACTAAGACCATAAGAGAGGATTTCAGGGACTGCACCATCTTCACTATAGCACATAGGCTCACACAGTCATTGACTACGTAAGGTGAGTATACTCCTCACTACAATCTTTGCTATAGCACACCGGCTCAACATCATCATTAATTACGATGGGCAACTACAGTACAATCGTAACCTAGCAGTTCGCAAGAGAGTAACAAACACGCAAAAGAAATAGATGAAACATGACGATAGTAAGGATGAGGAAAGAAAAAGCATCAGTTCCCCCTACGTTGTTCCGGCACAGAATGAACATGACATTGATACATCAGTCCATTTACATTTCTGCTGTGCATAAGAACATATTATTAATATCCCCCCTTTAGGAATGGCCATAAGACACTTGTATTCAATGTCCAATGTAAGCCTGATTCTCCGTTTGGACTTCTCTGTTGACATCCACCCCTTGGCGCTCATATGACCTAAGGCAATTGCGAGAGCCGTAAAACCTTACTAAAACAAAAGACATCAAGTAAGTCATTCAGTTTAGAAGTACAGTGCGTTTTCTTGTTTCAATATCGTTTAAGGTACAGATGTATTTCTCTATTTATAAAAGGACATCCTAAGTTGTAGTCTATAACCCCC